TTTTTTTTTTTTTGGCATTTTGTTGACTTTATGTTTGTTCTCTTTGCTTGGAACACCCTTCCCCCAAATCCACACGTGCCTGCATTCTTCTCAGCTGTCAGGATTCAAAGTAACCAATTTCAAATGATTCCTCTTTCCAAACTGTACCAATTGTATCTATCACATGTCTCAATTTTTTTTGCTTTCTAAATGCATGAATAACTGAAAGGTATTTTAAAAATCTATTTTTGTGCACCCACTTAAACCCAAAGGCAGAAGATTCTTTAATGTAGGGATCTTGTCTTTGCAATAGTATCTCATCTATCATGAGCACTGAATAATTATTTGTGAAATTACTCAATGGAATGCTTCATTCCCTGGGTTTTTTAAAACTATATTTTAGTTAGTTGATATATATATATGTATGCTCTCCAAATTGTAAACACTGAAGATGTTGAACTTGTCTGTCCATTTTTAGGTTTCTAAGCATCCACAACATACCAATCAACATATACTTTCAACCTTTCTCACAGCCACACATTTAAAATTATAACATGTTATGTATTTACACTGCAGTAAACTGACAAAACCAGAGACAACTAGCCTAACAGTTTCAGGTGTCGCACAACCTATTCAGCTGCCCCAGCGATTGACATAACCAACATTCTGTCTCAGTTGTTACTTATTTATTGTCTTAGCATGCAATCTGAGAAGCTCTAAAACAAGTTCAGTGTGTCCCTTAGGGCAAAATGCTCCCTGAATACACCATATACTATCAAATACTAATTTATGTCAGATGCTGTATGTTTCCTTAGGTAGAGCTTTATTAACATTGAGTTCATCTGCATAATTCTGAGGAATTGAGACTCAAAGCACCAGTTGGAGAACTCCCGACCAGAAAAGTGTGGTAATATTCTGTGCCCTGTGATCATTTCCAGGTTACATCATTTCATAGGAAGATGGTCCAGCAATTACAAAGGTGACTCTATCATTATCTAAAAAACACATCAATGTAGAATGTCAGCCAAGATAGCTTTATTGAAACTGCTTTCTGTTATGCATAATAACTGGTGGGAAATACATTGCAAGGAAGTCTGGATAACAGGGAGTAAACCTGTGGCAAAAGGCAAACCAAGGCCCTTCCAGCATTGCAGCATCAGAGAAATCAACATTTCCCATCGTGTTTGAAACTGAGCTTTCCATTTCTTTCCCTGAAAGAAAAGAGATGGTGCTCAGAATGAAATGCAATGGAAATTGGTTAAGCCCAGGCTGGATGAACTGGGAAAGGGTACTCACACTGTGTAGGTCTGCTTGGGGAAAATACTATTGCCTTTTTAAAGTAAGAATCATCTGTAAAATACTTAGCACAGTAAGGCTTAATCAGTAATTTCACTGACTCATACCCATTAGCCCAACCTAAGGGTGCTATTCTAGTAGCTTCCTCCATATGCTTACTTAGCTGCTTTGCAGAATTCACAGCGATTATGGTAAGTTTGTTCATCAGTACCACAAACTGGTTTGTGGATCTTGGGACAGGGTTTTCCACCTGTAGCTAGTTGCTCATAGTTGCTGCAAAAAGCCTGTAATTTAAATGAAGTTCTTTTTTTATTTCATGGATAATGGCATTGACATCAGTAGCTCTATCAAAGAATGAAAAATATGCTAAATTTATGCTTAGGAATTCTTTTTAAAAGCTTAGATTTTATTACAATTAAAATATATGTTGAAAATAAAAAGAAGTAGAAGTCATATATGTAGTCTTAGTGCCCAAGAATACCCTTTCTTAGCATTTTCTATTTTTATATCTATCTCTTCTGTATGCATTGTATTTCCATTTATATAATATTTAAAATAGAACCACACTGTATATATGTTCTATTTGTTCTTTATCATTTACCATTTCTATAACATTATGCATATTCTGAAAGGTGTGATTTTGTGGTATAATACACCACCATAAACGTATGAAATGATTTACTTTACTAATACTTCATTATTGTATGTTTCTTTTTTTTTAAAGCAGTTGGGCTGGGAAGACCATTTTACAATAAAATACTTGTATATAACAATATAGGGGGGCACAGGGAAGGCAGTACAGCACAGAGAAGACAAGTAGTGACTCTATAGCATCTTATTATGCTGATGGACAATGACTGCAATGTGGTGGGGGGGCCTTGATAATATGGGTGAATATAGTAACCACAGTGTTGCTCATGTGAAACCTGAGCATAAGATTGTATATCAGTGATACCTTAATAAAAAAAAATACTTGTACATATTCTGTATTTTCTCAGGGTATGTTCTTATAAGAAGAATTGTTGTCTCAAATATTACAATGTTTAAAGGCTTCCAATGCTTATTATCAATCAAATTGCTAAGTCATAAGTGTGTTTCCAAGTATAAATTCTTTATCTCTTTCTCAGAATTTCTGGAGATATTTGTCTACACCCCTCTTTTATGTCACCCCTCAACCCATCTGGAAGCATATTACCTTTTTATCCAATTCCTGGGACAGGTCCTGGTTAAAGTCAAATGTTGAAAAATATTTATTGAATGAATGGGAAAAAAAGAGCAGAAGTTAGAGTGTACATTGCAGATATCAGTGTTACAACTGACTTGCTTAATTGGCAATGATTCTTAGAAAATTCACATCACACCGTTCAAAATCCTATGCAGTATGGCCCCTCTATACGTTTCCAACTGTGCCTCTATTCTGTCCCAAATAAAAATATCTAAAATTTATGGAGTGCTTACTATGTGCTATGCACATAAAGAACTTTCAATGTAATTATCCATTTTAATCTCCTCAGCAGGCCTATGGAGTTGTTATCATTACCACCATTTTACAGATAAGGAAAACAAGACCTAGAGAAGCTTTTTCAAGCTCACATAGTTATTAAGTTGTAGAACCAGAATTCAGTGAGAAAAGTTTAACTCCAGAGCTTATGTTCTCAGCCATTACACCATTATGGCCATATAAGATCCCACTAATTAAACCAAATTGGTTCATTAATAAGCATTGAAAACTCTTTGCTTTTTTGCAACACTATACAACTCCTCCTCCTGGAATAAGTTTTCCTTTTCATATCTTTAAGGTACATCTCAATACTGTCTCATACTCTGAAATTTTCCTAGTAACACTCAGGCAAAAGCAAATTGCTCCTGTTTCCAAATGCCTACAACTGACACCAACCTTCAGTAACATAAACATGTTATCTTTTTTTTTACCTTTTTTTTTTCTACTTTGAATGCAAACTCCTTGAGGAAAAGGATCATAAAATACGTACATGTATAACAATAGCTCTATCATGGATCTATTCATTAGCTATCTCTCTACCTATCAATTATACAAACAATGCATATTTATAATAGAACCTCTAGATTTTATTTAGGAATTTATTTAAATCACAGTTAAGGAATTTATTTAAATGACCCATAATCTGTTATCCAGAAATTTGCACTATTTTTGCACAAACTATTAACAAGTTTGTGTATATCATCCCCTGATATTTTCTGTTTAAAGATTTCAAAAAAATGATCACCCAATTAATAGCATTTTATAAAATGTTTTTCAAACTTGAAATATGCTTCCAATACCCTATGTCAAGTAATATACATTCTATATTACCATTTTGAATAGTTACCATGTGTTGTACAAATTATTAAGCATTTGATTTGTTTTCATGTTTTTTACCAATGCAAACAACACTGCCAGGAATATCTGTATAAATGTATTTTTGGTATATTTCCAATTCTTTCCTCAGGATAGATTTTTAGAACTCAAATCTCTGTGTTTGCATTTGTCTTTTAAAAGAATTTTGATGAAATTATCAAGTAAAAAGTCAGGGATTATTTTTTCATATTTCTATTTTTTTTGGGCCTTGAACATAAGAGATGCTCAGTAAACTTTGTTGAATAGTGGAAGGATAGGATAAACATTACCATAAAATTATAAAATTTAATAGATAAACTGGAATAAACTCTGAAAATTTTTCTCATAAGTGAGAACAAACTTTCAGTGCCCACCTTTCTATCCTTCATTTACCCCTATTTCAACCAGAGAAAGTTTGAATTTATCTGGTATCATCTCTGTATGTTTTGCTTCTGATTTTATTAAATCAAAGGACATTTCTTTGAAAAATAGTAAGTCCAGCATTTTAATTCTGTAGGTGGGGGCACAGAGGCTCACTTCCTTCCAGAAGATATTCTCCCAGTGTCTCACATGATGTGGTGACAGAGTTAGAAGTAGGTCTTAAATATACCATTACATTGCGCTCTTCTAATTTACTTCTTATCTTTGTTTATCTATCATGCTGATGACTGGAAACCATTTTTCTTAGAGTCTGCCTTTGAATACTAGGTCCCTCCTCCCAAGAAGCTTCTATTTATTCTTATATATCTGTTTGCAAATTATTTGGCATTAAAATACCATAACAATGATGCAGTTTATAAAGTTGAAGTCATGATATAGTTGCAGTAATCTTCAAAATGTATTTCTAAACTTAAAAGTTCAACAAGAAAATATGTGACTCCACCAGCCACTTAGGAGTGATTCCAAGAAAGTAGGAGATGATTTTCAAGCTCTTTTCCACCATTAAGAAAAATGCATCTGTGCCAGTGACGACACTGTCTAAATGAGGGTGCAGTGTCATCATTTCCCCTTCTTACCAGACCAGCCGTATGAACTCAGGAGGTTTTAACGGAATAGCCCCTGTACTTCACATCTCGAAATCACCACTGTCAAGACAACCTCCTGGAAGAGCAAAGGGCCCCTGGGAGAGAAGCACATACCTGGCAGCCTCCCTGGCTCACAGCCTCTGCAAGGAGAGAACAGACACTGGTAAATCACAACAGCTCAGAGAAATTCCAAATTTTTCTGTTAAAATTATCCTTACAGATATTCCATTACAACTATCTTGCTTTATGAATGAGCAACTGAGACCCCAGAGAAGGGGGAAAAAACTGCTCCTGCACACACAGTGTGTTGCCTTTGCACCTGAGCAAGAGGCTGGTCACAAAGTTCTTTTCACTTCATTTGCTGTTTATGATTTCGGTTGCTTTTATCCAATCATGCTGCTCACTTCTTTAATGTATACCTTAAAACTAGATTATTACTGAAGAAAGGAGGGCAAACTCTAGATCTCGTCTTTGTCAAAGAGGCATGTATTTAATCAAACAGAAGTTGAAAATTCCAAAATCTAGAAGCCATGTAAATAAAGAAAACTCATGACGAAATGCAGACAAGGTCCTAATACAATAACTTAATTCAAAACAATTTTGAGATCATTTGAAAAAAATCATGTGATTTGTCACCATCCCCACTAACATTACTAATATCTGCCATCAACTTGGAAGATTTCTGTATATTAAGCACTTTATTAACTCTAATATACATGGAGTCGTCCATTAATCCCATTTTAAAAATAAGAAGACTGAGCTCTGTGGTAAATAACTTCTCTAGTGTCATTCAGCTTGTAAAAGTCAGAGCCAGGAATCCAACCCGGGTCTCTGAGACTCTAAAGTCAATGTACTTAAGCATGACCTTTCATTGAAAGAAATCTTGGAGCATATAAGGCTCACACTCTATTTTCATGTAATGAAACAAAAGCCAGAGAAAGCGAGTGAGCTGCTCAAAATTAAATAAAAAAATATTAGCAGAATGAGGATTAGAAGCCAAATCTTAGACTCGTAGTTGTGGACTCTATTTGTGGACTCAATTTATCTTTTCCTATCTACCTCTTTATTTTGCTTACCTAGAGCGTAAGAATGACTCAGCTTTCAGTAAAATAGAAGCATCTCAGGAAAATCCAGTTGAAGCTCCTTAGATAAGAATTTCTTCAAGGGGACTTTAAATGAGAATTTATAATTTCAGGTTACATTGTTTCCTTAACGAATGAAGTTTCTTTGTAACCTTCCGCTATTAACGGTGGTCTACCGAGGGGAACACAGCTGGTCTGTAACGCCTAGACTAGTCACGTGGGGCCCACCTGACTTGAAACAGACCACCCCACCTGACTTGAAACAGACCACCCCATGCTGCAGATGTAACACTGTTTTTGCAGTTGGCTAAAGCTATCTATTTATAGTACTAGAGTTATAATTAAAGTAACTCATTTGTAAGAAAAATTCCTTTAAAAGTCAGTGTGATAGGCAGTCACTATCACTAACCCTCATCACCTTCAGCATCATCATTATAAACTACAACGTCACATCATGACTGCCGCCACTTACCAGCCAGCTCCAGAATTCCAATTCATATATAGTTATCTATACATACATAGCACTCACCTGCAAAGAGGAACAAATAAGCCACACTGACCAAAAGCAGAAGGCTGCTTGATGGCTTCATGATCAATGAGTTCTGCAGGCTTTGCAGGGAGCGTGTTAATAGAGTTCATCACTGTGGATGGTGTACAGGCTGTATTTATAAGTGGATGCATAGGCATGCACCTAAGTACCTATGCATTTGGCAGCCAGCCAAGTTCTCCACCCTAATTGTGTAATCTATTTCCCTAGTGACACCAGAAACCAAAGAAGCTCATTTTTATGCCCTTTTCAAACAGTCAGGAACGATACTCAAAAATTATGTTCAGGTAGAATGAAATGAATTACATATAACACACACAGAATTTGCTTCCGTCAGCACACAGTGATTAATTGCACTCATCATTTTCTTCTAATCTGTAGATTTTGAGTCTGCTCCCAGCAGAGCCTTGGGGCCAGAAAGCTTCCATCAGGCAGTAACCCGTAGGATGGTCTGTACAATTTGTGTACAACATTAATAATTTGGTGTCATGACTACCAGGAAGATAAAAATGTTGATGTGAGGGATTTTGAGGTCGAGGAATTCGTTAGACTAACAGCATACCTAAATGGTCATTGCATTAAAAACCCTGGATATTCAAGGTAAATGTAAGCTGGGGGGCTCTTTTGTTCAGCCCCTTGCTTTTAAGCAATACACACAGGATATTTCCTATTTAACATTTTTGTTTTAACAAGAAGGTGACAGGTGGATTTTAGTCATTGTGCATAAATACCTTCTACGCTTGCCTTCTTTCTCTTGTCAGATGTACTATGTACTCTTCACTCTAAGGCTTCTGCTCTTACTGGTCTCTCTGCCTGGAAGACTCCTGGACAAGGAACATAAATGGCTAGTTCCTTTTTTCTAGAAATATTAGTTCAAATATTATTTGCTCAGTGAATATTTCCCTGACAATTCAAAAAACCTCTACCCCAAATCAGATTGATATGCTCTATTGCCTTCATAGTGCTTTCTAATATCTACAGTTATCTTTCTCATTTAATTATTTATGTATTTTCTGCCACCAAATATATACATAAAGACACACAAATGCACACACATACATGCTAGGTTATAAGCTCATGGATCATTTTCTCCATGGGTCTCCATGCACAGAACAACACTTTACACATATAAGCACGTAGACATCATTCTGATTTTAAAAATGACTAACCAATAAAAATTCCTTCCTTCTTTCAAAAATAGTAGTTGAGCACCAATTATTCCAAGTATTACTAGACGCTGAAAACATAGTAACAACAAAGACAGATTCATCGAGCTTACATTTTCCATTCTTTTCTCAAACACTTGCTGGGCAGAACCTACTGATTTCAGGAACTTTATTTTTCTGGAAATTTGAGGGTGAACAAGAGTAGCTCACAGGCTAAAGGAGACAAAAGCGTTTTGATTAAAGTTATACACAGTAAGTAAGGGAGCCCTGAAGGGTGCACATGCATTTGAGTAGGTGGAGGTGTGAGAGAGAGAGAAGGTGGTCATGGCCAGGCTTCAGAGAGGAGCTTTACTCTCAGAGTGGTTAAAAAGTCAAAGGCATTCCAAGAATAAGGAATAATCTGAGAAGAAGAAAATGAATCAGAACCAGCGTGGATTTTAAGAAATGAGTGTTAGAATCAAATGCAGAGACAGAACTTAAGATAATAGGTTTAATAGGCTAGGCTAAGGATTGTAATATTTCTTGCACCTGGAGTACATTAAGATCCCTGGATCTGTAAGTTTACAGTTTTCATCAAACCTAAAAATTTTGTAACTATGATTTCTTCTAATATCTTTTTTGTTCTCTCATCAGCCTTCTCCCAGGCTGCATGAAGTGGTCCCACAACCTACTGATGGTTCCTTTAATATTTTTTTAGGTTTATTTTTCTTTCTGTGTTTTTATTCACTTCTAATGCTGTGTTTTCAAGTTTACTAGCCTTTTCTTCTGCAATAACTAACCTAATGTTAATACATATGTGTATTTTCCTTCTCAAGAACTTTGTTTTTTTTTTTCATCTTTAGAAATACACTTTGGTTCATTTTTTTATATGTTCTATCTATTTACTTAATATTATCTATCTTTCTTCTCCTTTCTTGAACATAAAGGATAACTGATTTAATAGCCTCATCTACCAATTACAACATTTGTGTTATTACTGGATCTGTTTACATGATTGATGTTTTTCTAGATGCAAAGTCATATTTTCCTTGTTCTTTGTATACCAGACATTGTGAACTTTACCTTTTAGATACTGGGTATTTTTTCTATTTCTGTAAGTATTTCTGATCTCTGTCCTTAGATTGCAATTAAATTAATTAGAAAAAGGAAATAATTATATATATATTTTTTTTTTTCACCTCTTGGGACTGGCTTTAAAGTTTTGTTAGATGGAACCAGAATAGACTTTGGTCTAGAACCAATTTTACACCACTTCAGAGACAATGACCTCTGAACATTCTACTAAAAGCCCATGCTTTATGAAGAAATCCAGTCGGTAGTAAAATATTTTCAAGTCTGACCATAAAACATTTTCAACACTGTGTGATCTCCCAGGATTGTTCTCTACCTGCCTCAGTGGGGTGGTTCTCTCCTTGTCCTCGTGTACTTTCCCAGCACTCAAATGCTGGTAAACATTCAGCTGAAGACTCAAGAGGGTCCCTCTGGAGGACTCCAGAGCTCTCCCTGCCCTGGGAACTCTAACAGCCTTGTCCTTCTTGACGTCTGCCACTCACGGAGACCTCAGGTCCTGCTCGGCTCTCTTCACGTGCTCGCCCCTGGCAGCTGCTCAGGAAGGAAGCTGTCACCCACTCAGGGCTCACCAGGCTCCTCTCCTCTCTCTGGATTCAGTGCCCTGTGCCTGGATCAGATCTATGAAAACCATCGTTTCATATATTTTGCCTAGATTATTAGTCATTTCAGGTAGGAGAGTAAATCCAGTCTTCATCTTGGTCAAAGCTGAAATTCTATACTAAAGATTTTGGTTTATCTTATTCTTACTCTAAAGGTGATAAAATTTGTATACAGGAATAACATGATTAAAAATAATACAAAGATTACTTCTTCTATGTTATGGAAAATGGATTAAGGAGGGTAAGGGTGGGGAGTCACTGGAGTCTATTTCAGGAAATTATTGTTTAAGTATGCAATAGTAAGTGAGGTGTTCTGTGCTTAACTAAGACATTCCATGTTCACTCCTACAGCTCATCCTCTCTGACTTATGCATCTTATGCCAGCATTGTTGGGGGAGGTGTGGAGGGAGGGTGTTGAGTCTATTCTCCTCTGTTCTTGCCCCCACCACAACAAAGAATTGGAGGGCAGAGACACCTTAGTGAAGCAGAGCCAAAGTTTTATTCAAATACACTCCAAGGGAGGAGCAGACCAGAGTCAAGGTAGACAAAGGCAGGTTTACTTGAATAAAGCAGAAAGGAAGGAAAAACAGGGGGAGAAAAGGGAAGCTCATTGAACTGCTGCTTAGCATAAGGCAAACCCTTGCCAGCTCCTACAGCCAGTGTCACCTGGGGTCCAGTGTCTGCTTAAGTCTGCACAGCATGAGAACGAAGTTCCTACCTCCCCCTCACCCCAGGATCTGGGGGAGCCGCAGAGCACTGATGGAGTGAGATTATGTTCTGAGAACTTCCTAAAGGCAAAGAAAGGAGATTTCAGGCAGGCTACTAAGAAGCATGACTGTATAGCTGCAGTTCTGTTCAGGTCACCAGGCGATGGAAACTTTCAAGCACAAATCAGAGCTCTCAGCAGCCCCTCCCTACAAAGAGAGTGACACACTTGAATAAAGGTGAGTGAGGGAAACCTCAGAGAGGAAGAGGCATGCTCAAAAGCTGGGATTCTTTCTTTTAAGGAGTTTCAAGAATGGGATAAAGGTAAAGGGTCAGGGGCGTGGGTGTAGGCTTGAGAAACAATATGTCACTGTGTGTAGCCGGTCTTGTAGGTGGTTCTGTAGCAAGAACTTTTTGTTCCTCCCCAAGACAGTGCAGTGGCCTCTCCCAAGTACTGGGAGCACGTCAGTTAAGACTGCCTGCCCTGCCTTAGGAGGATAAGATGGTGGCTGATTACTGAAGAATATGTTAGGAATCTAACCCCCCAACTTTCTACTCTTAGCCTCAAGATAAGTCCTTCTTGTTCCCACTAAGCTATTCACATCTCAGCATTTTTCATCATAGGCAGGAAAAGTTAATCATGATGCTTGTCCCATGTCTTAGCTCATTGAAAAAGAAAAGTTATGGAAAAGTTTGAGGAAGGAAATAATATTAATTATAAGGACAAGTGGTTATCATGCTTGGACACTAAGTTTGGAACAAAACTTACTGGAAGCTCAGAAAAATAAAGTATGGTAAATAAATGTGGATTATTTGAAAGAAAAAAGAATATAATTGATATCCTAGTTGCACATTTGTTAATATGTTTAAATGCCAAAGTATGTCTCACCCACATTAGCTGAAGCAAGTCTCAAGGTCAGCCCAGATTCAGAGCATGTGGAAGGAACTCATACTGCAAAGGGCATTCAGTCTGTCTTTCCTGGTTCTCTGGCTTTATCTGATTAACTCCCTGAGTTCTTGGTGGGCCCCACTCTCTTTTCATCCTGCTTCTATCTGTCTTTCTGCTTAACAGTATCATTGATTCCTTAGTCTCATATTTTTACTTTTGATGCTGCCTCAAAACATCTTTTGCCCTTTACACAAAGCAATTCTTTCAATATTAAAGACCTTCTTTGTTCAGGGTAGGGAAGTGTTGTTGGTACATTGTTTTACAGGTCCCTGCAACTGGTTAGGGACTCCACTCCATTGGCTTTCTGAGACTGAAACAGGTAGAGAATTGGCTAAATTAGAGAGACAGTTAAATTCGCGTTTGTGCCAGAGGAAAAAAATATAGGCTTTAGCATAGTAGACCTGGTTTCTCATTCTAGCTAGCTGAAAGACTTCTAGATAGTTTTTAAAATCAAACCTTAAATAACCACTATATCTACTTACAAGCTTTCTGTTTTCCAGAAAAAGATTTGGAGCAGCTCACTCTAAATTGCATATGCATATAGTTTTGAAAACAGACATTGAAAAAGAAGTTATGGAA